ATTCATCATTAAAGTTTCTCTCTCCTCCTTTCCTCTCTGAAATCAATTTAAAAAAAAAAGAGGGCACAACTTCACTTATGTAATATTCTTGCTAAAATTTCATAACCTGAAAAACCCACATTGAGGGAAATTTTACAATTAGCCTGGTAGTTTAAAAACAATGTCTTAAAACAATGCAAGGCTGAGGAAATTTTACAGGTTAAAGACTGAAGAACCCTGGCCAGTGTGGCTCAGTTGGCTGAGCATTGTCCCATGCATTGAGAGGTTGAGAGGTTGCTGGTTCAATTCCAGGTCAGGGCACATGCCTGGGTTTCAGGTTTGATCACTAGGGTGGGGCGTGCAGGAGGCAGCAGCCAATGGATGTTTCTCTCTCTCTTCCTCTCTCTCTAAAATCAATAAATATAATATTTTTAAAAAAGATGGAAGAAATATGAGAATTAAAAGTAAGGCTTGCCCCCTAGCTGGTTTGGCCTCAGTGGATAGTGTCAGCCTGTGGACTAAAGGGTTCCGGGTTTGATTCCAGTCAAAGGCACATGCCTGGGTTGTGGCTCAATCCTCAGTAGGGGGCGTGCAGGCGGCAGCCGATCAATGATTCTCTCTCATCATTGATATTTCTATCTCTCTCTCCCTCTCCCTTCCTCTCTGAAAGCAATAAAAATATATTGGAGGGGAAAAAAAGTAAGGCTTGATCCTGGATGAGCTTTTGAATTGGGACAATTGAGAAAACTGGAATATGGCCTGTGTAACAGATAATGATACTACATCAGTATAAAATTTCCTGAGTTTGATCACTGTACTGTGGTTATAAGAAAATATCTTTGTTCTTTTTTTAAAAATATATTTTATTGATTTTTTACAGAGAGGAAGGGAGAGACAGAGTTAGAAACATCGATGAGAGAGAAACATCGATCAGCTGCCCCCTGCACATCCGCCACTGGGGATGTGCCCGCAACCCAGGCACATGCCCCTGACCGCAATCGAACCCGGGACCCTTCAGTCCGCAGGCCGACGCTCCATCCACTGAGCCAAACCGGTCTCGGCAATATATCTTTGTTCTTAAGAGCTGCACACTGAAGTGTTTGGCAGTTAAGAGTCTGAGTCAGAGGCGTTTGGATTCACATCATACCACAGGCACTGTCATAGTTAATTTGACCTTTCTGAGTGTCAGTTTCTTCATCTGTGAAACTGGGAGGCTGACCAAAAAGGAAATAAGCACATGAAAGAGAAGGATGTAGAGTGGAGGAAGTGAGCCAGCAGGAGCTGGAAACAGTAGGCAAAGCAGTGTAGATAGGCAGCTTAAGGGGTAATGGGAGATGGGTGAAGTCCTGGAAGCCGGTGGTTGGAACCTGGCACAGGTGTTTAAACATTACTCCGTAGGCAATAGGGAGTCACTGGAGATTTTCCAGCGGTGTGTTTCCCTGAAAACATATGAAATGAACTGGAGGTGGTGAAACTGGCAGTGTAAGAGGCAAAAGCAGTATTGATAACAGGGAAGGAACAGACTGGACAGACGTGAAGTCAAATTGACAAGTTGAGGAAGGGGTCAAGGGTCAAAGATGACAAGTCTTGAACCAGGAAATATGGGTGGGGAGTGGGGGAGAATGGCTCCATTAAGCAAACATAAAGAAGATGAAAGGAAGTAAAAGTCTATGATTCCGATAGTTTCAAAGGAGAAAGGAATTTTTAATCACCTAGTTACATAATCCATGCAATATGTTGCAACCAAAGGTTCATAAGGTATTATTTAGGGCTAAATTATTTTATTTTCATGTAAGCATTTTACCTTTTTGCTTCTGACTTATGTGGGAAGAGGAATAGGTAGCCATATCCCAAACAGTTGAAGATTTCTGACCTTATTTAAATTTTCTCTTTAAGAAATGTCAGCTAGCCCAGCTGGTGTGGCTCAGTGGGTGAGTGTTGACCAGGAACCAAGAGGTGGCAGGTTCGATTCCCAGTCAGGGCATATGCCAGGCCATATCCCCAGGGTGGGCCGTGAAGGAGGCAGCCAATCAAAGATTCTCTTTCATCATTGATGTTTCTCTCTCCCTCTCTCTTCCTCTCTGAAATCAATAAAAATATATTTTTAAAAAACTACACTAAGATATCATTTTAAAAAAAGAAATGTCAGCTAAAGTAAAATTTTAGTTAATGCAGTTAGTAAGAGGTAGTTTGGAGGTGGTTAATGCCAAGAATAAAAATCAACTGAGTTACTGTTCAAATGTAGCAGTCTTAAGACATCATGATAAATTAGCACGATTTGTGGGAAACAGCAGAGCCCAAATTATTTCACCTTTTAATAATGTCATCATTAAAAATATTTTTAAATGTTTTCTTACTACTAAATAAACTTAGGTGATTTCCACAAAAACACTGAAATATTTTTCAGAAATAATAAGCCTAGTCAGTGTAGCTCAGTGATTGAGCATCGACCTACGAACCAGGAGGTCATAGTTGGATTCCCGGTCAAGGCATATGCCTGGGTTTTGGGCTCAATCCGCAGTATGGGGCATGCAGGAGGCAGCTGATTAATGATCTTC